TGGTTGCCAGCGTGACTGGGAAGTGGGGCACAGTACATTCCCAGTGGGGTGTGACACTACTGCTCACATTTGTGAGTATGGGGTTGGTGGTTGCTCACAATCGTCCGAAAGTGTTCAAAATTGTTATGAAGGAAAATGTACATCTACCGTCGGACTGTACCATCAATTATCCTCCGTGTTTGTAGGATTTCGATGTTTGTAGGTGGGTTGGACTAGTTCTGAAAAAGCTGTCCAAAAAATCTACCGGGTGTTACAAATACGGTTATTGTGATTAAAAAAAATACATTTCATGGGTACAAGTATATTAATGAGCTGACAAAAGATTACCGGATACGCATACCTAGCGAGCGAGGAGAACCGCCAACCTGGTGGTGTGCTTTCAGGAGAATTTTGTTGAGTTATTCATATACCACTTTTTATGATATATATATATATATATATATATTCCTTTATCAAGAAGCAGCTTTAATTTGCACCATAGGGGATGAGCATTCGACTACCACAGAATCACTCTTCTGTGGAAACGGCATGGTAAAAACCAAAAAGGATGGTGATGCGTTACATTTAGAAAAAAAATAAGGGAAAAGGTAGGCGTTATTAATTAACCGTGCTAAGTACGGTATTGCAGAAGACTTGTATTTTGTGATGCATGGTGTTATGCGCTTATTATCGAAGCGAGTGCTAGATGTAGAGATACATTTACTAAGATGAGGGTACAGAGGGTGTGATGGGTTTAGTGGTATTCTGGCAAGCCCTAATATGCTGTGAAATAATAAGCTGCACAATATGCTCGCGAGATATACCACCGTATCGACATACGTGTTTGATGGACATGCGTATGAGTTTGAAGTATTTCATACAAAGACCCCGAAATACAACAGGGGATGCATAAAGCCAGTAGAGAAGGATACAAGAGAAAACAGAACGCTCTATTAAGTGAGTTGGGGTAGATAACATTTTCAAACGAATAATGTAAAAGGCGAGTTTTCTGACTGAAATGTTTCGACGACATGAGGAGACCAAGAAAGATTGCGGGAAATGGTGACTCCAAGATATTTGACGGAGCGTCCTCTGAAAACTTCACCATTGATAATGACATGCTGAGAAGAGTTCATCACATCAATATATTGATCATCTTTCAGCAAAGAAACTAAAACGTCATTACACTTGGAAGGATTCATTCCAAGATTGTGTTGTGACGGCTAGTCGGTGAGCAGTAAAATATTCTGCATAAGTTTGGGGTACACGGAGGAATTCGAAAACCTCATACCATGCACAACATCATTGGCATGGTTGATGAGCAAACAATCATCAAAANTGTGAACAAGAAGGGAGAGGGAATAGCTCCTTGAAGAATTCCTTGAGTGGAGGGTAAAAGTGAAGAGTCACGACCCTTAGATTTATTAAACTATAATTGATGGGCGAAATAACTACGTTACAGATTGGTAAGCTCCGACTGAATACCCTTCTCAGCGAGAGAGCGAGGAAGTTTGGACCTATCAACACAATTAAAGGCATCAATATAATCAGAGAAACATACCCGAACAAGTTTACATTTCCTGTTCAAGGAGGAAGAGATATAATGAATAAGGGATGTCAACGCATCGATAGTTGACCTGGAACTGCGATAAGCCAAATGAGTGGGATCAAGTGCATTCAGCTAGGACAACATCTTCTGTAGTGAAATCTTTTCCGGGACTTTCAAACTAATAGAAGTACAATCAATGAGGCGAACTTTGGACGGTCCCTTTTTGAGTACTGGCGTGATAAAGCCACTTTCCAACAGTCCAGAATGTAATGTTGAGTAAAACACTGGTTGAGTAGGTCGGCGAAAACCGGGGAAAGGGAAACTGCACTTATTCTTTGAGCACAACAGGTGGCAGTTCATCAGGACCGCAAACTTCAGACTGATGAAAGTTTTGAATACTTCTGTTTGCTCCGTAATTAAATTAACAGCATAAAGAGGAGGGACGACTACTGTGTCTTCGTCGGACGTCGGTTTCTGTAGTTCTGACTTGACGACTGAGATCGTCCACGTTCTTAGCTGGCAGATTCTCATTCGTTTTGAGACTGTAGAACTGAAATAATATTTTCCATGCATTGCGACAAGTCCTGTTGACTAGCAAATTAGATGATTCGGTCTGTGTAGACCAATTTACCGGTTCTCGCAACATTCTTCAAACTAAACAACTTTCCTCATTCCCACACTGAATTCTTGCAGTCTTGAGCCACTGAAGTTTGGTACCTGGCGAAATTCAATCTTCACACCAGGACCAGTCATACGGACTAAAAAGCCAAATATATTAACTTAGACAATAAAAGTCGGAAACAACTGATACAGTGTAGATAGTAGCAGATGCTACGAGTTCGGGATTTCACTAGGCACGATCGATCACAGAAGGTTGTAACATTTCTATCTAAAATAGGACTAGGTGAATAGTCATTTAGGTCTATTCAATTGGGCTTTAAAGTCCGAAGCCATTGCATATTAGAATTTTACATACATCTGCTGCCAGACAGACAAAGCACTGATCTTTTCACATTCTAATCATTCATTACACCGAGGGGATACTAAACGTTTCACAGTTTCAACATAAGACTTTGATCTGTCAAAAGAACCAGAATCCCGGATATGCTCTGTTTAGCATAATGGCAGCGCGCGCGCACACACACATCCTCCTTACAATGGGTCCGGAGTGATATACCATACTGATGAGCTCTAGCGAGAGCGAAACCCGACTCTGTTGCTTTCCAAGTTTGTCATCTTCTGGACGAACGGAGGATATTGTGTGCAGGTAAAGTCCAACCAAATCAGTTTAGTTTATCCCACACGACTGCTCACAAGTGATTGAGTAAATTTGTCGGAAATTTTCTCTAAACACTGACAATTCAGTCAAACTATTCAGTTTCTGACTACTTGGGACTGATTTAGCTACCTAATATGCGGGTTATCACCAAGAGATACACTAAATGACCAAACAAAACAGAGCAAAACTATACCAGATCCCTGATCTGATAAGTCACGTGATAGACATATTTGAACCGGATAGATTATAAGATTACCCGTTTCTTTGAAATTCTACCGAATGAAGTAATAGCAGAGCATGACTATTCCACCTAGTTTTGTAGGCAATGTAGACCAATGGTAACACCAAAGTAAGTAACTTATCGACCTACACGTGAACTACTCAGCTAGAGCCAATTCAAAGCAACCCAGAAATATAGATGACAAGTTAGTGGTTTAATTGAATTTCACTGCTTCCGTAACGCGTCACTTCGTCATCGATACTTTGGGCTTGATATAGCAAAGTACTATTATTATTATTATTATTATTATTATTATTATTATTACTATTATTATTATATTTCACCAACAACAACAACCGGAGCCCTCGGTTGGTCAAAGCCTGACGCGCAAGGCAGCAGGGGGCGGTGTGCGAAAACCGCCATCCATTCGGGGCCGGTGTCCAATTCATCGAATCATACACCTTTCGG